TATTATTCCTTAATATCGTTACTAAGCTTATCTAGCTTATCCGGCGATTTGTCTATAATATCCGGGTATCTTACTACTCCCGTAGTAACCTTACGTATTATAGCTAAAACGCGAGATTAATATAGTACCTTAGGGAACTATCTTAAGTTTTCCTTACTATTTCGGTGAATCTAGTAGCTATTATTATAGCAGGCTATCTAATAGAGTTCCTCGTGAGTTGGCGCTTTAGCTAGCTTTCGTTAGATAGCGGAGAGGTAGTCCTTATACTCCTATTCCTTATCCTTAATAATATCGTGTTATTCGTTCGTTATGATTTCGTATCCGGCCCTAGTTATATTTAGCTATTTCGCTTTACCTTTAGGTACTAGCTTCTAGTCTTATTTTCGTTCCTTCTTTAGGGAATAGTATTCGCGCGTAAAATATCCTTTCTTATTATAATTATAGTAAGTGAGGTTCTTTTTCTCGATTACCGCGAGTTTTCGTTATATAGCGTCTAAGTCTATAAGTCCCGCGTGAGTTCCTCCGTGAGCCGTACTTAGGTAGAACCGGGGTCTTCCTATATTAGGATAGATCTTATTTTTATTACTATAATCGCGGTTCGAGGAGTTAGTAAAGTACTATCCCCTTTTCTACTATCGCCTTTCGAATTATCGATTATCGATCTTAACTATTATTATAATATATATAGCGAGGGCAGTAAGTCGGTCCTCTTTATAGAGTTCGTCCTTAACCTCGTCCTTAAGACCCCTATAATAGGCTATTATTTTATCTCCCTCGCTCTTTATAGTTCTAGATACTATCTAGATAAATAGGGCGCTATAGTCCGAAGCTAATCCTTTTTGCTTTAACGCCTCTAGCTAGTTCTCGGCTAGGCGTTCTTTATTAATAATCCCAAAAGTCGCCTTTAATACTTCTTTAAAGTTATAGTAATATACGAAGATATCCTTTATATCTTATTTTCGGTGCTAGTAAATATAGGTTACGAAATCCCGAAGCGTGGGTTCGAACTAAGCTAAGGCGGCTCCCGATAGATATCCCGCTATATAGCGTACTTTATCTTCCTCTATCCGTAAGATAGAAAGAAAGTACTATTAATAAGCTCTAACCTAAGTTAGGAACCCTTAAAGGTCCTTAGTCGTACTATCGAATAGTCTTAGTTAGCGTGGCTTTATAATCTCTCCTAGGTCCTTACCGGTGGCTTACCGAATAGTATTATTACTTACGCTATTTATTTCGTTTCTTAGCTACGCACTCTGCTCTCGTTATAAGGTTATCCCTTCGTTAAAGTCGCGGTATACTATATCGTACTACTCCTTATCGCGAGTCTATATATCGGTAACTTATTATAGCTATCCTCTGAGTTCCTAGATTTATCCCCTGAGGATATCTACCTCGTCCTCGGACTTATCCGAGTTTATACCGATATCTTCTTCCGGCGGGGGTTAGATAGGTTCGGCGTGCTTGCCCTTAGTCTTAGAGGATTCGCTAGCCATAGTGTCGTATTACTTAAGTACTTGACACGGTAGTATACTAAATAAGAGCTATCAATATATGACGTTCGGGTCTAGACTAGCTATCGGGTAGATAAAATAGAAGTCGGGTTATAAACTAAGTATACTAGGGTATCGTTGACTTGAGCGGTCGGGTCACAGTCTATATACGAGATAGTAGGTCTTGCGTAGATAATTATATTAATAGCTGAGGAGAGCTGGTAGAGACTGACTATGGTGAAGCTGGGCTTCCTATATACTAGGGTGATTATTATTCCTGGCAATGATCTATCTGCTTATTCGCAGCGATTCGTGGTGATCGTAATGATCGCGGGCGCGATCATTTGTGTAAGTGATGATCGTACTATAAGTGGTAGGAAAAAGTAGGGCGTGCCTAGAAGCACGTGAAGGCCGCATATTGGGTCGTAACATCTAGCCGTTTTTCGTAGTTACGATAGCTTAATTACTAAGGAGAGTGCTTTCTTAATACTAGCTTAAGAGGTAATATTAGCCTATAATAACGATAAACGGCGGCGCTATCTAGCCTTATACAGAGATTAATTAAATAACTATAACCTATTCCCGGTTTCTAGGCTAGACTCTTTTCGGGTTCCTACGCCTTTCGGCGCCTATAATAACTATACCGCTTATAATAACGCCTATTATAAAGCCTATCTTATCGAAGTTATAGATATTATCTAATTAGATACTATACTTCGCGATTATATTCGCTATAAGTCGAAACCACGCGTTTATAGCGACTAAATCTTCGTATTTAGCCCTCTAGTAATTATATCTACGAAAGAAACACGTCTTAAGCTCTAGTTACCGCCTAATAAAATTCCCTACCTAGCGCTTACTAACAGGTACCGCGTCGCGGTCGATACGTAATAGATTAGCTATTTCTTTAATACCACTAATCTAAGGGGAAAATCCTCACGAATCTAGATCGAGTATATACTCGACTAGCCTTTATTCTTTAAGATCGGATAGTTTCCGCGAATTAGCTATTATATCGCGTCTTAATTAAGTTCCGTGCTTACGATCTCTTAGCGTCGTGCGTGGAATATTATAGATCTTAGCCACACGTCGTATACTTTATTTTAGGTTAGTTTAAAGCGCTTAAATAGTAAGAAGGGTATTAGCTTTATTCTTTTAATCTAATATTACTAGTTATTATAGAATAATTGATTAAATAATAATGATAGATAATGATAGGAAAGTGGGCGGTTCGCTTGTCTAGGCGGTTCGCTTATCAATCACGTTATATAGTTTCCTTATTATTATATAATTTTCCTACTAACGTGGTCCACCCCTAAGCGACGCACACCCCTAACCGACGCACTTTTCCACGCGTCGTATATTTCTATCTTATACATAGTATTCCTCTATAACTAACAATAGCAACCCTCTGTAAAGAAAGCTAGATCATCCTGGTCATTAAAGCTATTCGGTAAGACAAAAGACTCAGCTGTCAGAACTGGGTTTAATGAAGAGAGTGAGAAGGTGCACAATGTCGAGAGGGCGCAGCTAGATCGCTGCGAGTACGGGGTCCTTGGTGACTGTATTAATCTCTTGGTCTTCCTAGAAGCATTCCTCGGCTGCGAAGGTTCTTCCCTTGGTGCGTCCCTGTGCACGTGACCCAATCGGGGCTTCCTGAGCCACACCCAGCCACAGGGCCAGTGGCTTCAGCCACCCCTGATGCCTGCAACAACTTTGGTATGCAACATGTGTCTGACATCAGCCGCCGGAAAGCCGTAGTAATCTATAGAGTACCCGAAGCTACGCTCCGCTATAGGATGAACGGACGAGTACTAAAGCTCGAGTTACGTTATATAGCTTATTGATTAATAGTTACTAAAGAGTAGGTAGTTATTCGATATATATTAGACCTAGATACGCGAGGATTCGCGCCCCGACACGCTAGTATTAAAGATATAGCTAATTTATTACTCGCGGGACGCGACGGAGGACGCGTCGGTAAGTACTAGGCCGAGAAGTTTATTAAGTAATAACTAGAACTCAAGACGCGTTTTAATCGCGTATATGACTTTTAGAGAGCCTTTACGAAGATCTAGAGCTTATTCGCGCGTGGTTTAAGCTTATATATAATATAAAAGCGAAATATAGTATTTACGATTATAACTTCTATAACTTCGACGAGACTAGCTTTATAATAGGCGTTATTTACGTATCTATAATAATAATACGCGCGGATCGACGTAGAAGAGGTAAGGTAGTTTAGCCTAGTAATCGGGAATAAGCGATAGTAATTAAGTATATTAATAGCGAAGGGTAGTACCTCCCGCTATTTCTTATTATTTAAGGCGCGTACTAACTCGCTAACTAATATATAAAGGGCGGCCTTTTACTCGACTAGGCTATTAAACTAACTTCTAATAGGTAGATAGATAATAAGACCGGCCTTAAATAGATTAAATATTTCGATAAGTATATAAAGTCTTATATAAAGGGTATATATCGGATAATTATACTCGATAGGTATAAGAGCTATTAGTTAGCCTAGTTCGAAGCCTTTTATAAAGAGAATAATATTATTATTATTAGCCTACCTACTTACTTATCTTATCTAACCTAGTTACTCGATATTAGGTATTTTAGTACCTTAAAGAAAGCGTATAATCGGGAAATTAAGTATTTTATTAGAGCGTATATTAACTATATTACTAAGGTCGAGTTCTTCCTTACCTTTAAAGCCGCCTACTTTACCGCTATAATAAAGAGTAATAATAAAGGAGGTTTTAGAGGTATAAGCCTAATACTTTTCGACCCTAAAGCTATAATATCTAAGCTAGATATTAAGTTACGGACGCTAATACTAACTAATCCCCCTTCCGTAGCTACCGATCCTTAGTGCTCCTAGACGCTATAGAACCTAATAAAGGTAGTCTTATAGTCCGAATATATTAAAAATTAGATTACCTATTATTAAGGAAGCTCGCTAATACTAATTCTTATTATTATTAACTAGCTTATAAAAGGGACGTAAGTATTAGCGCACTTAGTTACCCTTATAACGGCTAAGATATATATATTATAGAAAATAAATAAGGTACTTAGTAAGCGCCGGAGGGCTAAGAAAATATATATATATCTTAGAGGATCACTTACTATAGGAGATATATATAATATACTAGCCTAGAAGGAGGTATAGGAATAGGTAGAGCGTGAAACTCGTAAGAATAATAGTCGGCGGACTAAGATAGAGAGGGCTCTACGGCGTTATAGTAAGTATAGAAAGCCTAGGTATAATACGCGCACGTGCTAGGAAGATACGGAAGTATCTGATATATATAAGTCTGAATAGTTTTAGTGTTTTATAGTTATTATAGTAGTGTAATTAATATTCTTTGTCCTATAGTCGTAGAAAAGTGCGTCGCTTAGGGGTGTGCGTCGCTCAGTGGTGGACCACGTTATTATATATATAATTATTAAATGTAATATTATAGTCTTCTCGCGTAGATATTTTCACCCTTATAAAACGTCACCTTATGGCTCTACGCTAAATATAGCCTCCTTTAACTTCCGTTTCTCCCCCTCGCTACTAGTCTCACACATCCTCCGAAACGCACCGCCCCCCTCCCACAACCCCCTCGGCGTACCATACTCGACCATGCGCCCGCCCTCAAGCACGAGAATCTTGTCAAAGTCGGCCACGGTGCTAAGCCGGTGCGCGATAACAATGAGCGTGCCGTTCTTCCCGTTGCCACTGCTGTCACCACCGAACCCCTCGCGGATACTGCGCTGGATGAGAATGTCGGTGGGCACATCGACGGCGGAGGTGGCTTCGTCAAGTACCGTGATCTTGCGGCGCGCGACGATGGCACGGGCGATGCAGAGGAGTTGGCGCTGGCCCTGTGAGAGGTTACCACCCGACTGGGAGATGGGGCTGTGGAGGTCTTGGAAGATGTTTGTATTTGTGTTTGTGTAGATGTTCATGAAAGATGTTGAGGTTGGGATTGGGGTTGGGAAGTCTGTTGAGTAGGGGTCTATGAGCTGGACTCTGGCCAAGGCGTCAAAGAGTTCGCTGTCGGCGTGTTCGTTGAAAGGGTCCAGGTTGGACCGGATGGTTCCGGAGAAGAGGACGGGATCCTATGATGAAAAGTTAGTGTCAGCGACTTGATGTGTAGGTTATGAAATTTGGCGGAGTCTGGAAATTGCATACCTGAGGAATGATGGACATGCGTGATCTCAGGTCCTGCATGCAAACCTTGGACACATCCATCCCATCAACGAGGATACTCCCCCGTCGCGACTCAAGGAATCCAAACAGCGCAAGTGTCAGAGAAGACTTGCCAGTTCCCGTCCGCCCAACAACACCAACACGCTCCCCGTGGCCCACACGCAGCGAGAGACCACTCAGAGCGGGCGGCAGGTCGGGCGCATACGCCACCTCCAAGTCCTCAATCTCGACTGAGCCCGACGTTGGCCATGCCGCGGACGGCTTCTCCCCGTCCAGGCGCTCTGTCTCAAGATTCATGTACTCGACCGCCCGCTCCATGGCGTTCATGGCCAGCTCCATGTCCCCGTAGCAGCGGATCGTCCACCGCAGGTTTTCAGAGAAGTCGAGGACAAAGGACAGCGCGAAGCCGGCGAGGGCGGCGTCCACGGCCGGGTCGTAGATGATGAAAGCGCCAACAGACACACAGAAAAGCGCGGCCACGAGGGCCATGCGGAAGCTCATCCAGCGGTTGGCAAGGGTGATGTAGTACGTCGCCATAAGCCAGGCGTCGACGTGGGCGTGCATCTGCGTGACGCAGGCGGCGGCGACTCGGTCAAAGGCGCGGACCGTGGCGATGCCGGCCCAGGTCGTGGCAAAGACGTCAAACACGGGCGACTTGGCGTTGCTCTCGAGGCGCTTGAGCGGGCGGCTGGCGGCGAGATAGCGGCGGCCCGTGATGAGGCCCACGCCGAGGAGAAGCAGCGCGGGCAAGGCGAGGTAGCCCGAGACGAGCAGCGAGCCGGTGCATATGCCAACTAGGCGCAGGGCGTTGGAGGCGAAGAGAGTCCAGCTCGCGTTGATGCGTTCGTCGATGATGTTGAAGTCGGCTGTGAAGCGGTTGAGCACGCGCCCCGTGGGGACAGTGTCGAGCCAACGGAGAGGGGCATGCAGGACGACAGCGAGCATGCGCTCGAAGGTGTGGCGGCTGGCCTTGATGGAGAGGATGTAGGTCCAGAAGAAGCGGACGGCGCCGACTACGGCCGTGGCGGCCGAGATGAGGATGTAGACGTCAACGTATGACAGGGGGTGGTGGTACTGCTGTGCGATAAAGGTGCTCGCCGTGGGGACGAGGCTAGTCTGGTCGTCGTGGAAGACGTTGGCGACGTGCAGGCCGTCTTGGGTGCTCTTAGAAGTGGATGTCCATTTGCGTAACCACCACGCTCGGCCTGTGTTGAGTTAGCAATCGACAAGTCATTGGCATCCCAGGGGAATGAATGGACTCGACTTACCGATGATGCCGGCCTCGTACGTGACGAAGCTCAGGGCGCAGATAAACCACAGGTAGACGTTGCCGCAGCTCTTGATGTATGTCTTGTAGACGTGGTTGCTTACGGTGCCCTTTTGCCGCGTCTCGTCCTGCACAAACTTGCGTTTGCTCTTCCCGTCAAGCGACGAAGACGGAACTGCCGAGGCAGGCTGTACCACTTGCGGAATGTGAACAGCGTCTGCTGAAGCAGTCTCACTCTGTTCTCTGTCGAACGAGCTGCTCTCGGCATCCATGACGGCCCCGAGAGACTCGCGCTTCGGCCTCTCAGCGTGAACAACGGCACCGTCCTCACCGAGCTCAACCAGGAATCTTGTTCCCGCCCAGACCAGCCCCAGGTTATGCGTGACAAGAATCCTCGTCCTGCCCTCGCACAGTGCCCCCCTCAGGCAACGCTCAAAGATCCAGCGTCCGACGTGTGCGTCCACGGCGGAGAAGACGTCCTCAAGGACGAGCACCGATGCCCGCGAGTAGACGGCGCGCGCGAGGGTGAGGCGCCACTTCTGCCCGCCACTAAGGTTGACGCCGTTAGACCCCAGGTACGTCTCGTCCCCGTCGGCCAGCGCGGCGAGGTCCTGCCTCAGGGCACAGGCGTCGATCACTTGGTCGTATCGGGACCGGTCGAGTGGTAGGCCGAAGAGGATGTTGTCGCGGAGGGAGTTGCTGGTGAGCCAGGGGTTCTGGGCGACGTAGGCCAACGAGCCAGGGATGATCCAGTTGTCCGTGTTAGGAGGGGGACTGTCCTCGTGTTCATCGTCGTCGTCTACAGGCTGGCTAGTGACAGGGACGTGAACGGAGCCCTTGAGGACGTCGACCTCGCCGAGGATCGCGGAGAGGAGGAGGCTCTTCCCCGTGCCCGTCTTGCCGGTGATGACCGAGAGCTCCCCCTCCGGAAACGCAAAGTCGAGACCGCGCAGGATGAATCTGTCCTTGGTAGCCGTATCACCGTCGACAGGCCACGAGACGGAGGCATCCGAGAAGACAACGTTCGACCCCTGCTGCTCGATGCCTTGCACTTCCGGCCCTTTCAGGTACGTAGCGATCCGCCGGAGCGACACCATGAACTCGATGCCCAGCGTGACGAGCTCCGGGAGCGACCCCAGCGTCGTCTCGAGCGTATTAAACATGCCGATGCTCACAAACGCCACCGAAGGCAGTAGCCGCCCGTGAATGGCCACGTACACCGTCAGCGACGTCGCGGCCAGCAGGATGGGACTCGCGATCCAGCAGGCCCCCAGCCCCGTGTCCGCAACGAAGAAGCGCCACAGCACGCCCAATTCCCTCTCCCGCAGGCCCAGAACACTCGACTTCGAGCGGGCCTCTAGCGCGGCAAACTTGACCTGCCGGATGCCGCGGAGCACCTCGCCGAGCAGGGCCAGCTTGCAGTCGCGCACCGCCATGAGCGTCTTGGACTGACCGACGAGAAGGCGCGTGAACCAGGCGTTGGCGGGGAGGGTGGCGGCCCAGGCGAGGAGGCCAGTGGCGAAGGGGGCCCAGCCCATGAGCTGGATGAGGAAGGTGGAGAAGACGAGGAGCTTGAGGACGCCATTGAGCAGGAGGAAGTGATACTGGGCAAAGGTGGTGATGTGCTCCGTGTCGACGGCGACAAGGTTGACGGCCGACTGGCTCGAGTCATCGTCATTGTCGTCGTTGTCATTCTTATCGTTGATAGTGGACTGGGCAGCGGGGGCTGCGGCTGCGGCGGTAGTGGTGGCTGCTGGCCCGTTCTGGGCCTCGAGGGCGATAGGGGATTGGGACTCTTGGTTTCTGCTGGGGGACTTGACGTCTTTGCGGCGGAGGGACTTGCCGAAGACGAGGCTAGAGAGTTGGGCGCGGATGGGCAGCGCGAGGTCGGCCATGGTGAACCAGTATGCCCAACTCTCAATCCACTGACACGAGGTCATTCATTAGCAAGTGTACCTTTTCAAAACCGTATCAAGGGAAAAGGGGATCATCTTACGGCATCAAGCAGGTTCGAACCAGCCATAAGAACCACGAGAGCCAGCAGCTCAGAATGTTGCGACTCGCCCTCATCTCTCTGCTCGAGCACTTTCATGATGTGCAGCATAGTCCAAAACGGCACCACGCTGATGAAGCACCGAAACACAATAACCGCCCATAGCAACGCCAGCCTGCTCCTGTACGCCCACATCAGCGAGCGGAAGAGCGTGGCCCCGGGTTTCCTCTTCCCCTCGGCGTCCGCCCAGTCCCGCGCCAGGTCCGCGGAGCGCAGGCCGCGGCCCCCGAGCGGCACGTCGTCGACGTTGAGGTCATGTTGAAGGGTGGCCTGTCGAAGGAGGGGCTGCACCCAGCTCCAGGTGAGCCTGCTGAGGGTCGAGACGGTCCACTGCGCGTCAACGGGGCGGCCGTGATGGGAGACGTCTGGTCGGCGGGGGAGGGTGATGTTCGTGAGGGCCAGGGCCAGGGTGGTTAGGGTGTGGGCTGTCCAGACGAGGGCGGCGGGGTCTTTGTAGGGTGCCGCCTGCCACGAGACTCTCGTGAGGGGGCGAACGGAGAGAGAGGCGGCGAGGAGGGAGGAGAAGGAGTGCCATAGACCCAGATTGTGAATTTTGACTGGTGAATGTTGCACCATGATGCCAATGGCTTGCACGAGAATGAGGCCCTAATTTTTGGATGTTAGCATGATGGCCGTAGAGGAGTATCATCAAGAAGGCTAACTGAGGGACTCACCCATGTTGCCGTGAGCATACTGTGCTCACCGACCCCAGCGATCCCACCCTCACCAGTGTGCAGTGAGAATATTAGGATTAGTATCGAGATACCAGCGCCCACACTAGAGAGGAGGAGGAGGAGGGCCTTGGGCCACCTATTCGAGAACCGGCCGAGGGCCTCGGGCGTGCTACGCCCATCAGCATCTTCGTAGAATCGATCCCGAGCCCTTTGATGCCTTAGCTGAGATGCAAGGGCCGTGGCACCGGGGAGGGTAAACAGCGTCGTGAGTGCTAGGACAGCACCGGCGTGTCCGAGGTCCAGAGTTGGCCAGCCCATGGTTTTCCTTGTGTACGCTTACGATGTACGACGGGACGAACGGTTGAGGGAGGGAGGCTAGTTCGTTGGCCTCAGGCGTTTGCTGACGATGGAACATATGCCGGCTTCCTCCAGAAGAAAAAAAAAAGTCGACAGGACGACCAGGAAGCCGTAGACCAGAGTGAGGGGGGGTTCAACAGGGAGAGCTTCAACGCCAACTCGAATGGTGCGAACAGGGAAGGAGGGTAGGTCAGACCGTCAAAGGCAGAAGAGCTAGGACAATACGCGTGTCATTTTGTCGCAGTGATGTCCAAGAGGGTCGTGAGACAGATGGACCAACGAACTGACGGACTTGACGGACGGACGGGGCCAGCCGAGGGGGACTACGTAGTACGTACCGGGATCACACATTCATCATGCGCCCATCTTGTCCGATATGAGACGAAGATTTCGGGGACCAGAAAGTCCGTACGCAGGCAGAAGTGATCAGACCTCGGCCAACGGAGCAAGAATTCTCTTGATTATTCTTGATGCACGGTGATCGATCTATGACTTGCGCCTGATGTGGGCTCCTCTTGTTATTATTAGCCTATCGGATCGACGTATTATCCTAAAGAAGTAATGTTGGCGGTAATGGTAGTCCCGGCCGAGCTGATAATCCCTGCTAGCTAAATCAGGACAACCTGATGCCTGTCTCCCCCCTCTCTTGCCTGTGATACCCGATCCGCACCCCCTCTTTGAAGTTGGAACCTTGTCTGCCTGCAGCTGCCCTGCAGATTTCATCGACCCCTGGCCATCGGCTGAAGGACTCAGAAGGCTAGAAGGCGACGGCATCCCACCTCACACGCCGGAGATGGCGCTGCGCGTCGCGCACCTCGTTCCTGGCGTGCAGCCAGCGGCGGTTGTCGACGAGGAGAATGGTGCCCGTCGGCATGTCGTGCGAGGACAGGTGCATCGTGTAACGCGATTGCCCGCCCGCCCGACACAGTGCAGCATCGAGCTCGTCTAGTGCCTGTGCTGCCTCGTCTGTCAGCGGCGTGATGATGTCGCCCCGAAACCTCATCGACGTCCTCATCCACTTTGACGCTACCGAATGCGATGCAGGTGATGACTCGGCGTCTGCTGATGGTGGTGACGACGGCGACGGCAGGGATCCCCCTGGCCCCCCCAGGAGTCTGCTCGTCTCGGCGGTGGCGGCCGCGGTGGGCTCAATGGCCAACAGACTGCCGACGATAGAGTCCCGGCAGGGGTCCTTGATGAACTCGGGGGGGATGGCCATCCGGAACTGCGGCGTCGCCAGCACCGCGCGCGCCGCGGGGGAGAGGTGCTCCCCAGTGCTCACCAACCGCCTGACGTCCATGACGGACAGCGTGCCCCCACCGCGCCGGTCGTGCTGTAGCACCTGGAGTGCAAAGTAGCGCGGCGGGGGGTTCTCATAGCTGCAGTCCGTGTGCCAGGGGAACTCGCCCATGGTCTCGGAGCGTGCCTGATGGGCGCTCCCGGACTGGTAGGCTGTGGGGAGAGACTCGGATGAGAAGTCAGAGGACGAGGACGAAGGGGCAGAGGTTGAAGAGGAGAAGGAAGCAGGGTCTACCGGCCTCACATCCCAGAACCAGCCACGGCCCGCGCTGTGGCTGATTGGCAGCTGGTGGCCTTCGTGCGCGTGGAGGCCCAGGAGGAGCTGGTGCAGAAAGGCACTGCTGGTGTCGGGAAACCGGAGGCTGATCTTGAGGATGCCGTGCTCCTCGAGGTGGGCGGCGACCTGCCGGAGGTGAGAGCGGTGCGTGGCGTAGCTCGGGTCTGGTGCCGTCAGTTGAGGCACCGAGAGGGGCGATAGGGCAGACAAGGAAGAGGAGGAGGAGGGGATTGCAGCGTGTGTTGCGAGGCGGCGGTGCGATCCAAGCACGCTGGAGCCCGAGGTGGACGACGGCGGCGATCTGGACCAGGTCGCAGCCGTCATCGCGCAGGCATTCCAAGCAAACGGGGATTTCCGCTGGCCCAGAAGATAAGGCCGGGTCTGGTGCATGAATCGATTCATATTGTCCGTCTCTGAGGATCAGGATTGGGGGAAAGGGATGAAAGCGTGGGCAAAGTTCTAACGGTTGGTAGTAAGGTGCTCTAGTCCACTATTTCTAGGGAAGAACGTTAGCTTATTAGTCTGGGAAAGATTGAGGAGGCAAGCCCAGAGGGTTGGTAATCATGCCCGGCAATCGGCCGGGTCCAGTTGAAATTATCCGTCGCCGACAAGCTGAACGAGCCACACCAGGGATCTTCTCTCTGCTTACCTTGGTCCTCAACACCTGAGACTTGTGACTCGGGGCGACAAGGCGAGTAGCATGGTGGGGGTCAGGGACATTGGTCCCTGGTGCGGATCTCTCTCTGTAGCTGAACGCATCCAGCTGGCCGTCTCTGAGTACTCGTGCCGCGCCCCACCTCAACGGCTAGATCACACCAACGTAGTTACGGCCCGTTCCCTAGTAGCCCCCTACAAGCAGCTATTACCCCCGTACTGATCGCTCGGCATTCTATTAATACCTGATCTTTTGCCTATGACACAACGGCTTAGGCATAGCTGTTCCCAATGGCCACTTTTCACCACCATTAACCTATTCTCGTGATAATGCGCTAGCTAACACGTTCAAAGCCTATATCGGCTAGTCAATCACGCGTTCAATTCAAGAAGCACTTTAATATCTTGAGCAAAACTTAGGCGCGAAATTAGCCTCGAACGCGCGATAATTAAACAACCCACGTAGTTACGTAAGGAGCCACCCCGACTGCGTGCTAACGCGTTTTAACCGCCCTACCTTTAACATAAAGGTATTAAAAGAGGGAAACATTGCTATTTATTAGTATATCAATTATCTTTATCGTATTAAGTTTAATACACGCGCTAAGTTTAAGCCGTGAGATTAAAGCCTAACAATGTAAAGATCATTAGTGCTGCTTAGACTACTCGCTTCTATTAATACTACAGTCGTTTAATAGTCCTTGACTAAAAGATTAATATAAATACAAAGGGTTTAAAGAATATATAATAATAATAATAAATTATACGCCCTTACGGGTGCCTCTTGCTAGCTAGCCAGGCTATCTAGGCTAAATAATCCTAAGGAAAAATTAAGTAAAAACCTTAGTACAGTCCTCCTCTATCTTCTATAGTAAAATACGAAATAAAATGCTAGCTTCTGTAGTACCAGTCCTGTGCCAGGGCCGATTCCGCCCGCGTATCTGTCGTGATCCTAGGTATGTGCTGTGTTTTGCCGGAATTTAACCGTCGTGGTGGGGTTCCGGGAGGATCCGGCCCGGATTCTGGCTGAGTCAGCCCCCACTGCGCGTGGACTTTGTTTACCTGCCCCCTGCCCCTCCATTTCCCCACGTCTCTTTTTCTTTCTTCTTCACGCTCACGATTAAACGTTTCCGCCCCGGATCCGTGTCGCCATCGCCCCAGATCCTCTCGCCTTTCCCTGTCCACCCAGAGAATCCATTAATTCTGCTTTGTTCCTGTGCGGATCCGGCCCGGATCCTGGGGTAGGTTGGTGAGGTAGTTTGTTTTTGCCTGCGGCCTGGCCCGGATTCGCCGTGGCGGGGTGAATTGAGTCGTGATCTCTTGGTGCTTTGTGTGTGTCCGTGTCGTATCCGGCTTAAAGAATATATAGCGAACGCGAGAATATTCCGATAGGCTATAATCTAAAATAAGATATTATTAAAAAAACTTAGAATATAAATAAGATATGTTTCTAAATTAGCGTTAGTACGGATTGACTTATCGTAACTAAGCGTAAGAGGGTTCACTTCTTTAGGATACTTAAGAAGAAAGAGTTTATTATTATAGTCGAGTGTATTTTTACTACTAAAGCTAGAATCTAGGCTTTTCTAATGTTTATAATCTAGTTGTATATTAATTAGTAGTATTTTCTCACTAAGCTAAGCCTTTTATAAAGACTGTAATATTATAAATAAGATTCTTAAATAACCAAAGAGCCTTGTTATATATTTAGGACTTGAATATATATATTAGTTTATCGCCTCTTAATCCTTTCTATTCAGAAGCTCCATTATACAAAGGAAATTATTAGCTACTATAAAGAAAGTAAGATCATTCTTTTTACTTATCGTTAATATCTTATATATCTAATATAGCTACTAAAAATAATACTATTCTAGTTATTTAAATACTACTATACTTAGACTCTATATATTGTAATACAAGATAACTTAGCTAGCGTACTAAAACTAAAAGATAATTCATATAAGTAATCTTTATAATCAAAATAATAAAATCTACCTTTAGAAAAACTAGTGTCTAGGCTTTTATAACGTTCGATCCTATTCTAGCTACTAGATAAGTTAAATAAAAGTTTTCTTCTAAATTAACTATATTAAGATATCGTTAACTTGGGCAATTAAGTTATAATTTATATATAAGACAGTAGATTATATGTTAATAATTATATTAGTAGCTAAGGAATTAGTAAAGCCTAATTGTGATAAAGTATTTATATATATTATTAGGATTATTGAGTAAAGTATATAAGATTAATAGATTACAAAGCTTATAAAATAAATACACTAACGTGATTGATAAGCGAACCGCCCAGACAAGCGAACCGCCCACTTTCCTAAATCCCTATAACAAGATCTTTAATT